GGGCGGGACGGGACGGGAGGCTCGTGCTCCGCGGGGGCTCGGGCCGCCCCGTCCGTTCTCTCGCCAGTCCCAGCGCGATGGTCCGTGTTCACAGCGCGTCCGGGGCCGTCTCCGCGCGGCGTCTCGCGTCTGGCGGGGAAGCGCTGGGTGGGACGGTGCTTGCCCGCCTCTGGCCCGGGGCGCTTCCTCGACGGCTTGTAGCCCGGTCCGAGCGCTTCGTATGGGAGCCTGCCCGCGACCCGGCGGGCAGCCTGAGGGCCGGGCTTCGCTTCCCGCTTCCTACCCGAGGAGGTAACAAAACCGATCTCCTTTACGAAGGCTTCAAAATGTGACGAGAAGCTTATGTAAGAGCTGGTCTTCGCCACCGCAGCGCGGGTCGCCCGTACCGCAGCGAGGCCCGCGGGCCTCCCCGTGGGCGTCTGCCCGGGTCGACTGGAGCCGAAGGGGCCGGGGCGGGGCGGGGAACAGCTGCTGCTGCTGCTCGGGGTCCCTCTCGTTCGCTGCTGGGCTTCTCCCCTTCCCCGCTCCGAGCCCGGCGGGCCCCTCTCTGCCCTGCTCCAGGAGTTCGCAGCTTCTGCCCGGGGTGACCGGAGCGGCGTGCGGTCTCACGCGTGACGTGCTGGTAGCTCGCGGTCCTCCTGTGAATGACTAACATGCCTGAATCTTTTTCCCCCCTCTTTTTCTTTTCTTTTTTTTTCTCTCTCCCCTTTGACACTTTACGCTGTTTAATTGCATCCCATATCAGTTATCCTAGTCCTGAAGGTCACTCCATCCTTTCCATGGGATAGTCCACGCCTCTTGGGTATTAAAACTGTGTCCCTACTTCTTTTCATCAGCCTGCTCCTACTTTTGGTGCCAGGGTTATTGATTAATGCATCAAATTGCATCAGTCCCAGGACTGCTCTTTAAGGATCTCTCCCTGCAATTGGAAACTTCCTCTTCCAGTACATCTCCACATCCTCCACTTAGCCAGTTCACATCGACTCTTACGTTTCCTTTACAAGTCCATGTCCTTTCCGGCTGAACTAATATATAATCACCATATCCTCTTGTCTTGATGAATAAAGTATTTGATGCCTGCTGCGTTTCACTTGCTTAGATTTTGGTTATCTTATTGGGTTGGGCTGGCATCATCTGTCTTTGGGAAACCTGTTCTGTCTTTTATGTCCGTGTTCTTATTGTTTTTCTCCTTCAGAACTCGCTCTGTAAAACCCTGCGTACTACCGGAGTGATAGTGACTGCTAGTTCATAGACTGTCAGGCCAGAAGGGACCTCGGGAGATCCTTGGGTCCAGCCCCCTGCACCAGGCAGGAAAGGGGACTGGGGGGGCAGGCGACCCCAGTAAGGTGACTGGTCCAGTCTCCTCTTGAAGGTTTCCAGGGTAGGCAATTGCCCCACCTCTGGAGGGAGCTTATTCCACAGTCTGGACGCCTTGCCTGTGAAGAAGTTTTTCCTAATATTGAGCCTGAATCGATCTTCCAGGAGTTCGTGGCCGTTACTCCTGGTTTTCCCCTCGGGTGCCCTGGTGAGCAGTTGCTCACCGGGTCCTTGATGTATGATTCTTGCTTGTACTGGCTTTTTCTCCCATTTAAATATAGGTAAGGCGTTTGCTCCTTGCCAGTTATATGGGATGCCCCTTATAGACAATGGAGACAAAATGTTTCTTTAGTGTGCATGGTGATTGTCTCCACCTCATCCTCACTGGGTAACTGTCCCACTGCTTTCCTTATTCTGACTTGTATGGCTGAAGTATCTTCTGTTAAATGTTGCAGTGCCCTTGGCATTTGCAATTCGCACTGTACGGGCCTGTTGGAGCTGAGCCTGTCTCTCTCCTGCAGAAGACCTCAAGGAAACCGCAGGGTACAAGAGGAAGTGGTATTTGTGATTGGGTGCAGTAATGGCTAGTCTTCCATTCTTTTTCAGGTCAGCCCTGAAAAAAATTAAATGCTCCAGCATTGTGGGTAGTATGGCAGCTGCTAACTGGGCCAGACCTAAAACCTAGCCCTCCCTGTTAGTAAAAATCCTATGACAGGTCTTGCTAGGAAATGGAGCTGGAATGTATTTAGATAATTATTTTCTGCCTCTCTTCTCCAACCCTCCTTCAGAAGAATCTGCTGTATCTGGGATCTTGCTTCACTTCCTGCCAAGCTCTTGGGCACTGTTACTGCGTCGCGTCCTGCTAAACAGCTGTGGAATTCAGTGGTGGGTGGAGCGATTAATTTGCCAATGGAGCACCCTGAAAAGTCTCTAATCCATGTTGATATTTGATTTCTTATGTCATTTATGCCTATGGATCCTATCCTAGACCAGTTTGAGTTGCCTGGGGAGTGGAGAGCAGCAAGTGCTGTGCTAGAAGGGAGGAGGTGTATAGCCAAATGAGCTGAGGTCTGGGAGCAGCCAGGAACAGGTGCTGCCATGTCTGTGGTGGGGGTATGTGCTTTAAGCACGGAGGTCAAGAGGGCTGCAGTTGACCACCTGTTTTGTGTTCTCTTGCAGTCGTGTCGTTCTGCCTGTGTCCGTTGAGGAGGTAAGTCCTTTTCCTGCTGCTTCCTTTTAGGAATTTATTTAAACAAAACTATACTGGCACTTGCCACCAGTTCCCAAAAGCCAGGGGATGCAAGGCAGAGATGTACCCACCTTCAGGGTAATCCTAAAACAGTGGAGTTGGTAATTTAAGAATGGGGCCAGCTCTTTCACTGGCTTACTGAAAGACTTTTTGGGGAAAATAACTTCATTTCCCCTCTCGCTAGGTGAGGGATATGATACTGTCCCTCCTGTAAAGTGCTTTCTGATTGGATTGAAAATGCTTAGACAAGCAGTAAGTGCTAATAGATAACCTTGACTTGCCAGATTGTTACAATGCCCAACTTCCTTGTCTAACATAATTAGCTTTTCTTTGTAAAGTAAGGAGGAAGCTGTAATACAAACTCTGAGGTTGTTGTTAATGTGGGTTTGTGCACTTACCGATGTGAGCAAGGGCCCTTTTATTCTAAAACTGTCAGGTTGGAGTGGTAAGCCCTCTTAAGCTAGATGTTGAGGTTTTCAAGATTAACAGTGCTGAAGATTAAAGATTAAAAAGATTTAAAATTAATAACGGCACATTCAGCACTAGTGTAGACCCAGGTTTGCAAACTTCACACTGAAGGCACGTCTGGGTGGAGTAGTTTCACCAGTTGTACTGATGTAAGCTAAAGTGAGAATTTGGACTGCAGTGGAGTGGACAGTCTTTGTTCCAGGATACAACAAGTGGCTTCTTTGGCTTATGTGGCTTGGCAAGTAGACTTGTAAAGTAAATCAAAGGTGTGCATATAGAATAAGATGAGGCCTGTATACAAATGCAGCTTTTTGGTATAAGTGTCCACATTCCTACTCAAGGAAAGTACTCCAAGGCTATGGCACATCTAGGGACACTGTGGAACACAGTAACTTCTCATTGGTTTAAATTCCCACCTTGGTTTATATCATTTTCTTCTCTGTGTAGACAAGCGCTAGGGTTCTTTTGTGGGCTACGAGAGGATGAGCTGAAGCAGGAAATCAGATTTTCAGGTGTTAAGGAGGCTTTCAATCTGATTAAGCTAACTTGTTTAAAAATGTACCTTTTGGCCATGATGATAAAACCTTAAGCCTTGCCTAGATTAAGATTGGGCACAAACATGCTATTACCCCTTCAATCCTAGCGCAGGTAAATCAGCTCTGTTGAACATGTTGGTAGACAGGTACAGAGGTGTCTCGAGTTACTCGAGTTGTTGGGTAAATGCTCAGGCCACGTACTTTTTCTCAGAATACAGAATGTGACATTGGTGTCCACTGATGTGGTACAATGAGTCCCATAGATGTTCAGTCTTGACACGGTGGCCTCATGTTTCCTTCCTTCTCTGCAGGTGATATTGAAAGTGGCTTCCCTGTAGTTGAGACAGATCCCCTTTGCAAGAACGTGATTGCCCGAGTCTCGGTCTGACTTCCTGTAGCAGTGTTGGAAAGTTTGTCCTGTCTGCTTGACCAGTTAAATCCCTGTTAGTGCTAGACAGCAGGACTGGCTTGGATCACCCCTCGTTGTGAGTGTGTTATTTTAATGCAGATTGTGGTCTGTGTGCACAGCCTAATGCAGTGCATTGTCCTTCTTTGTGCGTCTCTGTTAAATATTAGGATGTTGTTGTTTTAGTGTTGACAGTGCTTACAGCTGAAGAGTGTCTTTGTCCCAGAGTGTTCACAGCCTGATACACCAGGGAACACAGACTTCCCTGCAAAGGAAATATAAATCTTTTAAACAAATGATTAGTGCTATGTACTTGGCAATAATCCAGTTGCTGTGGAAGGCACTGACTTGAGGCTTATGAGAGTAGTGGGTGGATAAAGCAAAATGCTTGAAAATGATCAGATAAGACTTTGCACAACCATAAAAACTCTTTTTCTGGGGTCCAGTTACATGTTCTGTTTCCCTTTTTTTGAGACCTTAGTTCACAAAGATGCCCCGTCTGCATAGTGAATTGCTTTTTGTCCAGTAAAACACACTTCTGAACAAAATAAGTAGGTTACACAACTCCCCCCTTCAAATTCCTAAAGCACTTAATTGTGTTTTAGACCAGTTGCAGCAATCATGTTATCAAAGGCCTCTCTGTTTTATAGGACTAGTCTAACACAGAGCAAATACTGTCTCTGCTCTTTTAGGGCTTGCAGTTGGGCAGATCTTATTTGGGGAAAGGGAAAACATTCCACTTCTATTTTCTTATGCCTGGTCCTAACTGCTGGAGAGAGGGGGGGTTCTGAGAGCAGGTGTTCACATCGGAGAGACTGAGCATTGGACAGCTGTGCAGAACCTGCTTCTCATGCAGTTCCTAGGACTACTCCTTGAGATCCGCACTGTGCCATTGACTGACCTCACATCTGGTGATTGCCTCTTCTTTCTCCCTGGTGCTCCTCAGCACTACTCCTGCAGAGAGATTCTACCAGGCACAGTCGCACTTCCCGAAACTGTGTGCAGAGCTGGAGGGTGAATGACTGACTCCAGTCCCACAGCACTTTTGTGTAGCAGAAAATCTACCTTGGGATAGACTTCTTCCTTGGTGCTGTACTATAACACTTTTAATTTGAGCTGTTGAGGTCTACAGCTTGCTGTGGTAAAAGCTGAGAGCCATGTGCTGTCTGTTCATGAGTAAAAAGGCTATAAGGCATGGCTGGGCTTACTAAGCTTTGCTAGCATACCTAATGGTGACCTGGTTTCTTGCAGCAGCCCATCCACTAGGCCAGTATGATAAATCTAGCTCTTCTGGTGCTTCGTGGTTCTCTGATCTTGACAAATAAGTATGGAGATGTATGCAGTGTATTGCTTTGACAACAGGGCTGGTTAGTAAAAGAACAGAAATGTTCCCTTGAGTAGAGGAAAAAGCAACCTCATGTTAATTCCTCCTTGAAATCCGCTGATATTGCTTGCTTTTCTAATGAGAGCCCTCCGAGTAGGCAGGGTAATACTGTGTCTATAGATTGCTTTTTTTTTTTTTTTTTTCTTCGGTCCAGAAGCTGAGAGCTGGTAGTGGCAGACGTCTGGTCCTTCCTTAGTGCCCACCTGCATCTCCTATACTTAATGTGTGAAAGATTTCCAAGCAGTTTAAAAGAGAAAGAAGTCTGACAGTAGTAATAAAGGGTGAGCAAAATCATGTCACTTCATTCCCTTCCTGAGTGGCACCTGTGCTAGGAAAAGCTGCTGTTTATCTTTGAAAATCCTGCCTATGTAAAAGCAGTTGGCACCTGATTACACCGAGGCATGCAAAATGCCAAAATATGCAAGCCCACGCGTTGCCTGGGGCTCAGCTTTTTACCCATGTATACAGCTCCACTTCTAACAGAACTGAAACATGTGGCATTGAAGAAACCAGCGTAGCCGAATGAAGCACAAACAGGGGACTTGCTGTAGCCAGATGAAGCCTATCTTAGTATGAAGACTGGAAAAGCATCACAGGGTTCTAGCAATTTACCCTCCTAAACTAATGATCAGTGAAGAAGCTCAATGCTTTGGCTAGTCTTTTGGAGAGGCAGTGTTGTCTCTGCCCACCCCGCTCAGCCTAACTCATCCACTTGTGAGGAAGAGTCTTCTGGCCTTGCTTGAGATTGGAGTCGTACTGTCCTTCGCTCTGTTTGGAAGCGGGTGATGCGAGGAGCAGGAGGGGTGCTCCCTTCTTTGTGCTGCATCGGATGCAACTTAGGACGTCACAGAGAGGATGGCTAAACAATGTCAACATGCTCAGCGGCCTGAATTTTGCTGTATTGTACTCTGCATGAAGCCTCTTGGCAGTGAATGGTGATGCTGAAGGGACAAATGGGCTTTTTTGTCTGTTTGTTTTTGGTTTTGTGTTTTTTTTTTTTTTTTTGCTGCTTTTTAATCTGGCAGAGCTGGCCCTGGGCTGGGAGGGAGTGGCAAGAGCTTAGTAATGCTCCGAGTCGCAGGAGAAGGAAAGTTTACCAAGCCTCACAAAATCCCTCAAGAGGGAATGCATGTATTGCCTTCTGCTTGGACCCCTGGACCCATCATCCTGATGTGGAGGATCCTGACTGAGCTTATTATCACTTTGGTGTGCTGTTGGGGATGCATATTCACCCTCATAAACAGGATGTAGTCAGTCTTGTGTATGGCTGCTGTGGTTATGCAGCATCTTGGGGAAACGGATGGGATGATGAGATGGGAAATTGGATCAAACTCTGTTTTGACAGATGGGTACAAATTTTAACCTGCAAGTCCTGGCGGGTGGGACACTTAGTGTGTTAACAGTCATCTGAGGACTAGGGCTGACCTGTGTGATACAACCGCTGCCTTTTGCTATTGTAAGGTGACATAGGCTGAAGTGGAGTGTGGACCACTCCTCACTGCATGGGTCTGCTGTGATGTTGGGGCACATCCTCCACTTCTGGGCACTCCTGTCCTAGAAAACTGTGACTCTTCCTCACTGGAGAGGGCGTGGGGAAAATGCACAAACAAGACACTCCTAGGAATAGTGGCTTCTGAGATACGGAAAACAAGGCTGATACTTAAACTTAGCCAAGTAATGGTTAAGATGATAAGTTACAGTCTACAAATGCTAGGGAGCTAGAAGCCCCAGCAGGTGGAGGAAGGGCCAGGAAGAAGCAGCAAAAGGAATAAGGAGAGAGCATAGTAGGCTCCCTGGCCAGCCTGGATATGACGTAGACTGGAAATGCTTCCCTGGTTTGTCTCTTGTCTGGGAAGCCTGTCCTTTCCATGTGGCAGGTAGAACAGGGTAGCACCTTTAGAGATTGAAGTGCTGCCCTGCCCTGCCCTGCCTCCTGCCTTACTTCATGCTAACATGGCTAATTACCTCTCTCTTTCCATGCGGTGCTTGACTCTTTGGTTTTCCTGATGCTTGCTGTACCACCTTTGGGTGCGTGGACTTGAGCTGTCCATACTCAAGTATGGGTGGGGGCGGGGGGGCAGGTGTCTGACCAGCTGCTGCTTGGAAAGCGTTGTTATGGTGTTAGAGCTGTGTGTGTACCAGTTTGGTGCCTTTCTGTTCTTTGTACATGGTAAGGAGCTTGCCAAACACGAAGACTTTTTAAAATTTCTCAACAGAGTTCAGAGCTGCTCCCAGGCAGGGTGGGGTACTGTTCCCAAAGAGGGTGGCTGTGTTGCGTTCAGACCATCTGCGTAATATGCAGGGGTCAGAGTCCACTGTAAGGGACTTTGCCACCCAGACCCAGCTGGGCAGATGGCGGTTGTAGTAGAAAAGGGAGAGTCGCTAAGATGGGGCAAGGTGTGTTGCCTGCTCTCCCCGCAGTAGTAGGATTCAGACTTTGGCAAGCCGAGTTCCTGCCCTTTCCCCCAGCAGACCCCGTGGGTTCTGTTGTTATTTAACTGACCAGTTTATCTGAGCCTCCTTCCCGTGTATCAATGGAATTAAAGGATCAGAAATAACAGGGAAGATTAAAGGGTGAAGATGCCAAGCCACAGGGCTGATCCTCTTAGTGCCTGAACTTTGACTCTTGTATCTAAAGGAAGGGATGAATGGGCGAATGAGACAGTGTTACTAAAGGGGATTAGTTTGAGCTGCCTGGAGGCCTCTCCTGAGACTGTTGAGCAAGGAAAGCCACTCGGTCCCCCCCTCTCTTATGCTGTGGTCATGAAGTTGATGACAGTTTCTCTCGTACAGGAAGCACAATCCAGTTTCTGATTTAAACTCTTGTTCTTCTGTTTTGCAGCTCAGCTCAGCTTCTCCAAGCAGGCGTAGCATTCTGTTTCTGTGGGTCAGCCCTAGGCAGCTGCAAGGAAGGCAGCGTGTGAAATGTCAGGAGATGGGGCATGCTGATACGGGATGGCACGCAGTCTGCTAGTGGTGGTGAGGGAGCTGCCTAGCATTAATTCAGAAGCAGCGTGTGGTGCCCATATAACTCAAGCTCACACTTGAAGTGACCTGACAGCAGTTTCCATTACACTGGGCAGGGGGAGATGGATTTCTACAAACCGTTTCATTAAAGGAAATGTCTGTTCAGAAGTCTTTCTAACAGGTGAATGAATGGGCTAAATGTGCTGCTTGACAGCTCTGGAAAGTGTCTACCTTAGTGCAGAGCACCTTGTTTGGCTCCCATCTAGCATGCTTTCTGCCTTCTCCCAGGCTACTCCTAAAAGAGACCTAGACATTCCCTTGGCATATCACCCTCCATTTGGTGGAAATGGGGGTTTGCTGTTGTTTTTTGATTTGGTCTTGTTTCAGCACCCCTTTGAGGGCAAAAAGCCCCATCAGACTAAGAGTCTGTTTGTTGCTCCAATCTAAAATAACGGATGTAGAATGATTTCCCTAACTGGTACTGCCTCCCCCGTAGGTGTGAGGGCTGCGTTCGCTGCCTTTGTGTTGGAAGCTGTTGATCAGCACTCTGCTCCTCTAGCGTGAGCTGTAGGTCTGCGGGGTGCCGGCTGCTCCTGCAGGATTTCACCTCTCCGTTAGTGCAGTGCTCGCTCTCTCTGGGTGAGGGCAGTGGGGCTTGGGCATTATGTTTCATTGCGTTTGTTGCACATCAACCAAATTGCTAATTTTTGGTGTACCTAGTATTTTGCCAGCTACCTTTTTCCAGTAGACCCTTGTATTTACTGCCTTTGGCAGTGGTTTTACTTCTTCAAAATATTGCTTTTCCGTCTGCAACCCAAACATCTCACTGCCTCCTAATGTCCCAATGTCCTTTGCCTTGGGGCATCTCTGCTGACTGCATATCAGCTTCAGAAAAGTCCTGTGTAGATTTTTTCAGTCGACTATGTCCCTCTTGGCAAGCTTTTGCATTCTCTCCTCTGTCCCTGCATATTGACTTGCCATTGATGCTGTCGAATCCATCTCTTTGCAACAACTGCCATTCAGAACATGCATCTTAATCTGCCTTCTCCCTTGCCTGTACATCTGAATTTCTCTCTGTTGTTCTCTAAGGCATCTGGGGAAGAACTGGCATCTGGGAGAGAAAGATGCTATCTATGTAGCAGGAAGCAGTGTTGAATTTAGTGATCAGTACTGATGGGAAGAAAGGCTACAGCTGTCAAATGAGTCTTCAGCAGACTGAAAGATGATCTAAGGCTGCAATGCTGCTGCATGCTCCAGCTCCTATGTCCTACCTATTAGGAATTGAATAACAGTGGCCAGAAAGAGGACACAGTGCAGAGAGTGTCTGCCTAAGGGATGGGTCAGTGTTTTTTTGGGGCAGATCCAAACATTTGAACTGGGAGTAATTTTCCAGCCAGGAGCTGATGGTGAAGGCAGAGGGCAAGAGAGGAAGGATGAAGGAAGAAAGCGGGGAGGGAGTGGGGGGGGGTTAGCTGAGGGGTGGGGGGAAGAGAAAAGGAGGAGAGGCAGATTGTGGAGGACCTTAGAGGTGAGAACAAAAAGCTTGAATTTGGTTGAGGTGGTTAATGGGAATTGTGCAATGGGATTTTAAGTGGGGCTGAACATGGTCATGTTGTTTGCAGATGTTCTTTACCACAGTTTTGGACACATTGGGAAGGCCAAAGGGGGATCCTGCTATAACAAAACCAGCCAAAGATGTCTGTATTCCATTGTTAAATGTATAAAGAATGGGATTCGAGACCAAATTGTAAAGTGCTTATGGATCCTCCAGGACCAAGTGCTCTCTCCTTGTTGGGGGTAACTTGCCATTTGCAGTGCTGTCTGAACTGAGCAGCAGGGGCATCTAGTTTTTGTGTCGTACAGAAATGAATCAGATTGAGTATGGCGCAGCTGGCCTCTTCTCAGCACTTACGTCAGCCAAATGCTCCAGTCCTCTCCCACTCCTGATCATCTATGACTTTTTTCATTTGTTGAGTTGCTTTAAGGCAGAGCTTGGGATAACTTGGCTGGTGTTCACATCCTCCTCCATGTTTACAGAGGGAGTTATGAGTGTGATGGTGCTTAGAGGGAGAGCAGGTATAAAGGAGATGGCCAGTCCTGGTCACCTGAATTCTTCATTTTGGTTTAATGTTCAACCATGTTAAGTGTATGTGGGCTATCTCATGTACTTCAGTCCCTGTCTGTTTGCAGTATGACTATAATGACCCCTTGTAAATCATGACTACTACAATAATGTCTTTCCTACCCTCAGTATCAAGTGGGGCAGCTGTACTCTGTGGCAGAAGCCAGCAAAAATGAAACTGGTGGAGGTGAAGGAGTAGAAGTTCTTGTGAATGAACCCTATGAGAGAGATGGAGAATGTGGCCAGTACACACACAAGATCTACCACTTGCAGAGGTACGTATCATGGCAAAATGGTCCATTTCTGGCAGTAAGTGGGAATAAAGGGAGGGGAACTGGAGAAATGGTAAATAATTTTAAGGAACTACCCAGGTTTCGGATCATTCAAGCCTCTGTAGATTCATTGCAACTGGGAACAAGGAATCAACCTCACCTGTTTGCTGCTACAGGGAGGAATCTTGAAACTTCTCATTGCACAGAGACAGCAAGTAACCAAAGGGACTAAAGAACTTGGCTACCGTTGGAAGAGAAGTTCAGAGCTGATGCTAGGACCTGGACTCATGAGCTGGGGGGAAGGCCAAGGAAAGCTTGTCAGTCCAGTTTTTGCCAAAGTTTTGTGCATGGATTTGAGAGATGAATTCAGACACTTTCTGCACCTTGGTAGATCATTGTCATGTAGTCTAGGCAGAAATAGCAGTCACAAGCTGAGTAGGAAAGAGGGCTGTTGAGCCGGTGACATGAGAGCAGGCTGCTGGTTAGTTGGGCTACATGGTGATACTAATAGGCTCTCCTTCCATATCAAACATGGCTAATGTCCTGAGAAATCCAGGTGCCACTAAGTTTACTTGTAGTCCTCTTTGTCAGCATTTTAATTGTGAAACTTGGCTAGAAAAATGCTTCCAAGGTATCAGCCTATGTTTATCAAGTGAAGCCTTGCTCTGCTGTACTGCACAAATGTGGGGTTTCCCTTAACCCTTGTGCTTTCAGCTGGTGTCTATAGGGATCTTGGCAATTAAGGAGGCAGTCACACAGGTGTAAACACTCATAGGGCACTGAGGTTTAAATTTCAGGGCAGGTATGTTCAGTGTCTCGAGCAGTGCCACTGGCATTTATTTGTATGAACAAAAAACCGTGTTTTGCTTCTCTTTCTCCCTCCACTTTTGTAGCAAAGTACCATCGTTTGTGAGAATGTTGGCCCCCGAGGGAGCCCTCAATATCCACGAGAAGGCGTGGAATGCGTACCCTTACTGCAGGACTGGTGAGTGCCAGGGGAAGGGCTGCTTGTGGGTACTCTTTCTTCTTTGGGGATGGTCATTGTGGTGTTTCAACTGCTGCCTTCCATCTGTCTTCTGGAACCATTTTCTGCAGTCCAGGAAAATAGGAATTTTGTGCCAGCAGTGGTCACAACAAGTTCATGGCTGATGTAAGGTTGCAGAGCTCTTGATAAAGAACAGCAGGGTGTCCACAGTAGCCCAGAGATCTGGTGAGTAGGTCACAAAGCAGGAGAAGTGTGCGCCAGTTGCACTGTAGGGTTGGAGGAATGGACTTTGGCGGCTGCGAGAGAACCATACGAGAGAAGCTGCTGCGTCTTCAAGTACAGCGCAAAAGAGATGGAGCAAGAGAAAATCCCTGTCTTAATGTAGTTGAAAGGGAACAAATTTATTAGAGAGATCAAAGGGGAGTGAAGCTGGACTGTAGCAGCCCACTTCATTTGGTTTTTTGGAAGAGCAAAGGCTGACACTTCTAACTTGAAAGTCTTTGCTAGCAAGTGTAGTTACTTCTCTTCTGAACTCTGGTGCTGTGGTCTGGAGCTTGCCTGGAAGAGGTAGTCAGGTGGCTGAGCTCCTTTCTGTTCTTTAAAGTCCCTTGGTTGGGGAATGAAATGGAGACAATTTGGGTATTCCTAAATTGTGGTTCCCACAGCAAGAGTCACTTGGCCTCCTCATGGTTACATAATATATTTGGGGTTACTCTTTCTGCTGTTATTTTCTTTGAAGATAAATGTGCTGTGTGCAGAAGTGCACGGCTGTGGGAGCTGTAAATTTAATAGTTTCATGACCTTTGTATTTTCATTTTCCTAATTGGGTGGTTTAATTGCTTTTTAATATTGAGTTCTCTTGATTTTTTTTTTTTTTTTAAACGGAGGTTAACAGGGAACTTAGAAAAATAAAAAAATAAAAAGCTGGGGTACCCCAACCTGTGCAGCTACATTCACCAAGGTGAAGTTTCTGATGCAGTGTTCAAATATAGAGGATATGTACAAGTGTGCATCACATGGAGCTCTGTGCCTGTTGGCATTTCAGGAGACCAAAATCTGTGAGGTGAGTTCAGATGATCACAACACGGAGAACCCCTCACTGATGACGGTTTCAGTGGACATTCATAGCCAATGCTATGCAGTTGTTGGATCAGTTATCCAAATATATCTAATCAACTTGTTTACATTTAGCAAAGCTTCGTTGAGATTTTCCTTGCACCTAGATACCACGGTTAATTCCTACACAAGGAAAATGCAAAGGGGGTGTAGTTATGTTACGGACACGGTTTTTTGTTTTGTTTTTTCTCTGTGAAGGCCTTATTGTATTACTAAGAAAAAAGTCAGGCTGCTGAAATAGTAGCTGTTATTCACGGCTATTTTTTCTCATTTTATGCATTGCTTCTTTTTTCATTCATTGTAGACCGTGAATACATACCAATCGACTTCACTTTCTGCTTTTGGTTTAATGGTGCTGAGAATTTGGATGCAAACATTGTAAAGACTGTTTAATCCCAAAACAGTGTTCTAGCACCTGAAATCATGAAAGCATTTGTACTAGTTTTTCACAGTCAATTTAAGAAAACCAAGTGTTCAGCCTTTATGCCCTGATTGTCTTCCCCCCCCCCCCCAAAAAAAAAAAAAAAAAGCTTAAACAATGTTGTTGTTGAATTAGCAAAGAGCATGAAAACATCTGAACTATTTCTCCATCTGTCCCACCGGTACTCTGCCTCTCTTTCCAGACCAGCCATAACCTATGTGCTGAGTGCAAATACATAGCCGTCTAGGCCAAACTTTGATAGCTTGAATGGTAAGCTGAGAACAGCAGCATAAGGTGTGTGTGTGTGTGTGTGTGTGTGTGGGGGGGGGCGGTTTGGGGGGGTTCCCTCCAAATATAACTAATGCCAGTCTGATATGGGTTTGGAATTGCATCGTTGTGGGGGCTGGAGCAGAAGGCAGACTGCACCAGCACTTCTGCGGGGGTTGGTAGAAAAATCTGTTTCAGGAAAATCTGCAGGTCTGACTTAAATACTCAGAAATGCAGTACTGGAACTTTTTATTACATTTGCTAATACAGAGCAGGAGGTTAGAACTTACCTGCTGTTAGGTAGGTGGGTTGTACTTACAAGGGTGAGTGCAAGTATTTAGGTCACGAGTGGAATAGCTTGCATGGCCTCTTGCTAATATCCTACTTGTGCACAGCACAAAATACTGCACAGCTGAGTTGGGGTTGGTCTGGTGAGGGCTTGAATACCTGGATTGCTGAAATAGCAACTGTTGTAAAAGCTCATCCTCGTACATGATGGAGAGTAATATCTGTCTAAGGTACAGTAGGACAGCCTTACACTTCTGGGTTGTGTCTGTTTGTTTTTTCCTTTGCAGCTAAATAGTGATCTGGGTAACCTGGGTATTCACATCATACCCTATAATTGAGGAAATATTGAAATGATGGTGAGGTATTCAAGAGTAGGGAATGTCCGAATTAAGGTTACCTGTAATTCTATAGCCTAGCGCACTTTTTAAAATGTACGTGATCACAGGTGCGGTGCCACGTAAGTGAGACTACTTTGCGTGCCCCTTCCTCACTTATTGTAGAAGATGCACCTTCTGTAGAGACTCTCGGGAAGGGAGGGCAGTTGCAGTCCTGTGCACAGGCTCCAAAGAGGACTGTTCTGTCCGAAGCGCTTCCACAGAAGGATTTTTGTTGTTGCTGTTTGCTGTATTGAATGAGTCACTTGCCTATTCTTTTTGGAAGTGGCAACTAACTGCATGGTCCTTGTTCTCTGTGTGTCAGTTGAAGATGCCAATGGCCCAGCTAGGCTGTGACTTGAGTCCTTTGTTCATTTTCCAGCCCTGCTGTAGAGTTAATCTCTGCACCTCTGTTCCCTCCTTATGAAGGAGGATGATAAGTCTCTCTCCTGTGGGAGGGAGCTGTCACTGTGAGGTACTCTGGTTCTACAGACACAGGTAACATGGAAAATCATATAAGCAAATACAGTTATTCATGTGGATATTATCGTGTGTATAACTGCATGTATAAAATAAGTAAAATTTCATACATGTTAAGTAAGGACACTTTCAGGTTACACTGGTACAATAGTACTTGTGCATATGATGACACTCCTCAGACTGGTTATGGTGTCTTGCTGTCTGTCAAAAACCTTAACATCATTTCTGCTAAGGAGACTATTTTGTTGAACCAGAGTGTCAAGTTCTAGTGTCAGATTTTGCTGGCTTTTTTTAACTCTTTGGAAACCATGGTTTTTATAATGGAAACACTGACATGCCTGAAGGCCTCAGGATAGATAGACTGGACTCTGGCTGTTACAGGATCTTCAGTTGCTTTTCTCTGTTGAATAATTGAGACTTGCAGTCCAAGGAGTCTGATTACCATGAGCAAGAGGGAAGCAGAGGGCAAGGAGTCCAGTTACCACATCCAGGAGTGATGAGGTCTGCACTGGCCTGAAATCCAGTGTGCACTCGCTTGCAGAACTGCAGAGAGGCTTCTTATCTGCAAGGTGAAGGAGAATTGGTAAAATACAGTCAGCTGATCAAACTGATTCCATTCTCTGATCCAGCTGGATGGAGTCCAGCGAGAAAACAGTGGCAGTACATAATTAAATGCTGCTGTTCTGGGTTTCACCATGGCTGAGAATTTCCAGAGGGTTTTCAACAGGATGGAACTCAGTTACTTCTGACAGATGATATACCTGGGCTTGCTGCTTCAACAAAACTGGCAGCTCCCCAGAACTTTGCCAGAATTGTCCCCTTCTTGCCGGTAATGGGTGGAGGGTGGCTGTTGCTGTAACTTTTCTTTCTCATTAAAGTACTGTATCTCTTTCTTTTCATGTGTCGCTTTCTTGGAGCAGTTATTACAGTAAGTATGGTTTTTATTAGTGATTTCTTGTGTAGAAGTGTGTGTCAGCCTGCCTGGAATGATTCGCATAGGGTTATCCTTGACTTGAGCTAATGGCACTGGCACTTTCTAAGTCGGTGGATCACATGGGTGAGGAACTGGGTCTGCTTCTCCTGTGGGATCTCCTTACTAAAGAATAGAGATGTCTCTTCATTGAGTGCAGGGTCAGGACAGTGAATGCACTGGAACTAAATATTATAGAAAATCAATGACCTAACAGGGCAAATCCATGTCTTCCCTTGTGCAGTGTGATGCTAGGAGTGATCTGCCTTTTGAATTGTTATTTGTGTTGTCTTTATATAGCAAATGCTTCTTTAGTTTGTACTGTCTTTTAACACCCCCAATGCTTTTGCAGTTATGAAGTGGCACCTCTAGACTCCTCTCTTCCTAGTTGGTCACTGCTAGAAGCTGAATTCTTTTGCTCACTGGCATGAAACTAGTGGAGGAAAAAGCTCTGCATGCCACACTGATTTACAGACAGAGGACCACATCTATAGGGGCGGTCTCAAATCCAGCACTGGATCAATATACTATCTTTAGAAAGCCAGCTTCTGCCCTCTTCCACCCCTGTGATCTAATCTAAACAGTATTGAGAGTGACAGTGTCTCAGCTGTCTGTTAAACAGTCTTCTCCTTCATGTTTCTTTACCCGTACTTAAAGAAAAGAATCTTGCCCTGGAGCAGTGAAGCACGAGCATTTTGCACGCGCGCAGCTTCACGTGCGTTTATTCTTGCACCTCCCACTCGGTAACATTGTAGGGTGCTTTCAGAAATGCTTACACAGGCAAGAATCAAAGTCCGGATATCCGCACAGTCTAACCCAGGGACGGTAACCGTGAAGACTTCAATACCGCAGCTCGGTTAATAATAAGATAACAGTAGTCTCTTGAGTCAAAGCAAACAGCCAAATGCTCTTCTTTCTCTGGCAGAACGAGTACATGAAAGATGACTTCCTTATCAAAATTGAAACCTGGCACAAACCAGACCTTGGCACACAGGAGAATGTAAGTACATGCTAAATGGTTAGATATGTTGCTTGTCCTGCTTGAATTCTGTATTGTGGTACTGTAATCTGTTTTCAGTCTCTTCATGTTCTTTGAATCAGTGCAGCTTATGCCAGGCTAGCAAGGGAGACCATGGCCTCTGAGAGCCCTCCTGCCTATTCTGGGCAACAAGGATGGTTAGAGACTTGGAGAGAACAAATGGCTAGGACATTAAGCTTAGATAAGAGATGCCTGGGTGGTATGATAGAGGCCATGAATGGTGTGGAGAAGGTAAATAAGAATCTCTTATTTGCCATCTCTCTCAGTACTAGCACTAGGGGACACATGATGAAAAGTTTAAAACAAAGAAAAGGAAGTTGTTTAACACAGCATGCAGTTAACTTGTGGAGCTCCTTGCCACAAGCTGATGTTGCAGAGGCTTACAATCTAACCAGGTTCAAAAGAGGATAGGTCCATCAGTGGGTGTTAAACATGATATAGGACTATGGTCTTTCTCAATTCTGGCAGATGTAAGGGAAGATGAGCAAGTGACAGAGCAGTTTGAATAGGCCCTGAATATTCTTCCCCTTTGCTTTGCTCTGTGCCACAATACTGGGCTAGGTGGACCTGGGGTCTCACCCAGTATAGCATTTCTTATGTTCTTGTGAAGGAAACGGATGCTTGTTGAAATTGTGCCATCACAGCTGCTGTGCAGAAATTGTTGTTGGTATGCATGTTTACCTCGGTGTTCATTTCCTTTGCTGAATTCATGTTTCTGTATTGCTGACGACTGCCTTTTTACCCTCACCCTGGAGAAGAGAGCACCAGGTGCTTGGATCGCTCTGTCTCTCTCTCTCTGCTCTTGACTGTAATTTGCAGTAGGAGGGCTATGCAGCTGTGAATTACAGATGTGGCTACCACTTCTGCAGGTTCACAAACTGGAGCCGGATGTATGGAAGAATGTAGAAGCAATTTATATAGACATAGCAGATCGGAGTCAAGTGCTTCCCAAGGTACGGTAGGTGGGTAAGAGCTCTTTCATGTGATGGGCATTTAGTATGTCAAAAGAATGATATCTGCAACTGTACTGTCTGAAACCTGCCACAGCCTTCAGGGATTGGGTGGGAAAGAGGGAGGAGGCAGGGAGAAGGACGGGTGTTCTTTAAGGGGGGCAATGCAGACTATACGGGGGGAAGAAGACAGTTATGGACAGTTCTGATGGACACTCGTAACTGCTTATCTAATGGCCACATTCTGCAGCATGGGCAGGCATAGTAAAAATACTTGTTTTACTCTATGGTTCGTCTCCATGTAGCACTGAAGTTGATCAAAACACTTTGTCACAGCAAGGAGTGACATTGTCACTCTCCTGGAGAGCTTAGATCCTAGAGCAGGGGTGCTCTGCACCGGGGCTTGTGGGCCATCCAACCTGAGGAGTCATGTCATCCAGGCTCCCTTCCGGTCTGTACATTTGGTGGGGGAGCGGTGGCAGTGAACTCTGCCACTGCTCCCCCGCAGATAAATTTTGAAGCCCTGCGTGTGTTGGGATTGGGCCCTGGCTGGGCCAGTACTGCATGCTGGATTGGTACCCATGAACCAAACTGGCACCGCTCATCTGGCCAGAGGGTGAAGAGGCTGGGCACCACTGGCCTAGATCATGACTTAAACTGTGGGAAAGAAGTATGCAGAATCATGCAATGATGTGTAATGTCCTTGAACAGGGAGTTTGAACGTGGGAAGGTGGTTTGCACAAGCATGTAGGAAGAAGTGTGTGAGGGGTGGGGAAAACTACTTTTAGTACCTGGCTCAACATGCTCCTTTTTCGACCTCCACTTTTTGAGAAGTGAGGGAAAATGGGAGAGTCCAAACCAGCTAGACCAAATGGCTACTGGCACTTAAATGGCTTCTTTTATGACTGATGCCAAGGGCAACCTATGACAGTTGTGATATTGGACCTGAATTTAATATATTTTTTAAAATATTGCTCAGACCTTTGCACTTGAAATAGCACCTCAGTTAATTTCCTTTCTCAATTGCTTTCTCGTGTTGATAGATTGTTATATAATACTATTGTGTCAGTTGCCAGAAGACAAGAATCCAAATTACTTAATGTTAATGGCTACATTTTTCCAACTTGTTTTAAAACACACTCCACTTTGCTAGGCCTCTAAAATGCTAAAAGTCTGAATCCATAAATAGTTCCACTCAAAGCAAGCCTGAAGCTCTTTACTATTATGCTTATTAAATCTACTTCACTACAAGGTTCAACAAGGCACAACAACACGAGCCCCTCACAGTGTGACCAAGGTGGCATGCACACCACAAGCAATAGAATGAAACAGAACTGTGCTCGTTGCCTCTGCCTATAATACAACAGGAAGACTTAGTAAATAAGTTGTACTTCTTTTTTTAACAGCATTCTTCCAACTTAGATCCACAAAAGAGGCGGTGTTTATATCACAGCACTTGTTTTGTGTGATTATGTAATTAATGCCGTTTTACAGTTTCTTGGCAGTTGTAGCACTTTGTAAGACCTTATTTCTACCCTGAAAAGTGCCACTGTAAAAATGGGATTGTGAAGTTTCCCATTCACTGTTGTAGTTTCCAATTCAAACATGCTCAGTTTGAGTAATAAAAAATGACGTTGGTGCTTGTCTTGCATCAGAACAGACTGAGATTCATCCTGGCTTGTATTAATATTTTTACACGTGCTCCAGGAGTGCGGGGCAGGGGGAGTGGGTGCTTAATTAGAGCGGCTTTCGGAGCTGCTCTAAATATAAGTGCCCAGAACATCTCATGTATTGGCATCCCCGCTCTTCGAAAAGGTGGGCGGGGGTGCTTTAGATAAAGCTCATCAAACGAGCTTTAGGTAAAGTGTCCCTGCTGCCATGTTGAAGTGTGGGGGTACTGATGCAAGATGCGGAGACTGGCTGGAGTGCGGTAATTGCCATGCTCCAGCAGAATCTATTAATAGTCTGCTCTGATGTGCTTTAATTACAGCATGTCGGAGCAGCATCCTGGCTCATGTATAGGTGGCACCCTATGTTTTCCAGTAGTAGGCTGGTTGCTGAGCTCTTATCTGAGTTAAACCCTGTAACTTCATCCCTGGAATTTTTCAAGAGCAGGTTAGACAGATGCTTGGCTGGGGTGGTTTAGTTGGATCATCCTGCCTCGATCGTGGGGCTAGACTACGTGACCTCATGAAGTCTCTCTGTCTTACTTTCTATAATCCAGAGTTTCCGATGGGGTTCCAGAGGTGCATCAGTTCTGGATCTGTGAATGAAACCTGCTGGATTTTCTGTTCTAGAGCATTTCTGTGCTCTCAGTTTTCCAGTGATGCCAAGAGTGTCACTAAAGTCCACTAGCTGTGATTTGTATTAGATAAGAAAACCAACATTTGCCATTTTTTATTTGGCGTTGGGTGGGGAGCCTTTTGCGTACACTTGATCACATCTTCCAGCTTTTCTGTGCCTATTGGGGCAAGCTTCTTTTAATGAAGAGTTAGACTTTCACTTGACTGTAGGACTTGAGGAAGCTGAGACTTTTAAGAAGCACTAAATATCTCCAGACACCTACTGAGAGTTGGTGATGGTGCATTCTTAGTTTGTATCAGTACAGCTGTAGTGCAGCTCTGCATGCTGGAATATCCAATACCTACACTGCTCGATGGACTTTGGCTTCCAATTCAACTCTGGGCTGTGTAATTAGAAGAAGCTGGAGTCCCAAAGCAGTTGCTGTGGAAAATTACTGTAAGTTATTGAAAAGAAGGGATGCATCATAAGCACAAGTACCAGGGAGAGTGTTCTGACAAGTGTGCTATGCTGTTTGTGTAATAGTGACTGATACTGGTGCCGGTACATATGCAAGACACCTGCCCAGACAGCCACAGCCCTGCCCCATGTGTGGGATACCCCACAAGCTGTGTACACTCTCATAGCAGATACCATGTACCAATTGTTTTGGTGGGGTAACAAAGGGAATGAACTTGATCATGCTCTGACAACTAGGGCACGGCATGGGGAAAAGGGAGGATGAATTAGGTTTTTAAAGTAGTCTTTGGCTATTTTTTTAATCTTTGTGAAAAGTGGTCCCAAGAAGGACTTTGAAGATGTTAACAGAGTACAGGAGTGTGAAGCACTCTGCAGTGCTGAAATGCTGTCACACTCTTCTGGAGTAATTGTGGTTAAACTTTGTTTATCTGTGTGACAGGATTACAAACCAGAAGAAGATCCAGCAAAATTTAAATCTGTTAAGACTGGACGTGGACCTCTAGGCACCAACTGGAAGGTGTGGATTTCATTATTTCTGTACATGACATCTATTATCATGACTGACAAATTGTTTGCTGGATTTAGAGGAGTGAATGGGCTTGTGCTGTGTGGAGCACTGTCTCTACAAGTAATAGAGACACCCATACCTACGTCAGTAGAAGGGCTTATATACGTGCACTAGATGGGAGGGTTATTTTGTTCCAGGGGGTCATGTCTTAAAGCTTACAAAGAATGTCTGGCTTTAAGCAATCATTCCAACGGCTTGTATCTTTGCAGAAGGAGCTGGGGAAGCAGACAGAATGTCCCTATATGTGTGCTTACAAACTGGTAACAGTGAAATTCAAGTGGTGGGGTCTGCAAAACAAAGTTGAGAACTTCATACAGAAGGTGAGTGTGCCAGCAGGTGGTTAGGCATGACTTTTCCTTACCTTTCCAATCAGTATAAAGTGCCAGGGATTCCAGTTGGTATAAGTAAAACAAACCCTGAGCAAAGTGGTACCACCTTTCACTCCTCTCACAGCTGGTCTTCACTGTTGAAAGGCAAATGCAGCTTTCTGAGGTGGTGAGTAAGCTGAGGTGAAAACAGGGTGATGACAAGAAACTTCAGTTTTTCCATGTGGTAAATCTGTGAAGGTCAGCTCAAAACCTCTGGAGTTGATTACACCATTTATCTCAAAGTAAAACTGAAGTGTTCCACACTTCTCTGGTCCAGTCAAAATGGCTAATGCTATTAGCACAGTATCCACAGGCATAGTGTCATAGCCTCAGGAGTGAAGAATTGTGTTCACGTCACCATACGAGCAGGTTTGCACTAGCAAGAGATGCATTTCTTTGGGATTTGAGACTCCACGTGATTTGTACAAACTTGATCAGGTACTGGTCCTGGCTCCAACAGCAAGAGCAGTTCAAGAAGTTGTATAAGGAGAAGTCAGTAGCTTTTCGGTGTCCTCAGTACCCCAAGCTGGGGACTGCAAGCACGTGACTCCACAGACCACACAAGGTGTTTGTACATGTGATAAAATTGGCCTTTTAAAGCAGCTTAATTGTCTGTTTGCACTGCTTTAATGGCGTCACTGTTTACACCTGCAGCAGCATGTTTCATTTTAATTTTATCACTATGTACATGTGTGGTGGTATTTTGCTTTAAATGGCCTTGTTATGTAGCAAGGACAGTTTTTTCCCTCCTAGAGCGTGCCTGCCTGCTTCTCCTGCAGCCAGGGGCAAGTTGCTGGTGAGCCTTGAGCTGCAGGGGGGCCCCGTCCTTCCTTCTGTGGTGGTGGCACCCCCCAGGCAGCATGTGCCAGCTAGCAGCCCACCTGGGTAGTCCTGGGGGGGTGCCGTGCCATGGAAGAAAGGACTGGGGCCCCCTGCAGCTCGGGGACTGCTCGGCCCTCTGTCATAGAAGTAGGGTCAGAAGGGACCTTGTAGATCTTCAAGTCCGACCCCCTGCCTGGGCAGGAGGAAAACTGGGCTCAAATGACCCCAGCCAGGTAGGCATTGTCATCTTGCCCCCTGACCGTGGGAGAGGCAGGTAGGCTCGGTGGGGGGCAGGGATCGAGACCCTTACTGCTCGTTCTTCGTTCCTTCCTTCCAGAGCCTGCTCACGGCTGTGGGGGGGTGAGGCAGGTGAGCTGATGGGGGGTTGTCGCTGACCTGACAAGTCCTTAAATTGAAACAGTGGGTTTTTAATCGACACAATTAAAAACCCATAGTTTCAATTTAGGGAGAACTAAACCCCGTTACGTGTACAAGCAGCCATACACATTAATCCAGAATTCCCTATCCTGTCATACCATCCCTTTCATAATCGTTGCTAGAAGTGATTCGGATTCTTTGCTCCTTGCACTTTGGAATAGCCTTCCAAGCAAAACCCACTCTCCTGACTGGCAGTTAGATGTCTCCTTAAGTGTATCCATAAATGGTTGTGGCTGTTTGGCTTCGTGGTAATGTTGTTTTTCAGCTTCAAAAGCACTTCCCCTCCTAGTGTTAATTCCAGACACGTGCTTTTATAAAGGGTGACAAAATCTCTTTTGTCAAACTAAGCAAGCTGAGCTCCTCTAATCTCCTTTCATGAGGAAAGGTCTGAATTCCCTTCACTTCCTTACTGACCTTTCTTTGAACCTGTCCCCATCTGAGGTTAATCTCTCCCCCCCCACCGCCCTGAACATTGACCAGGACTGCACCCAGCATCCTAGATGGAATCTGTCCGCTGCCTCGAGAAAGGTGTTAGTAGCGCGTTTTCTCTATGGACCGTATTCCACCTAACATACCTCCTCAATGATGTCAACCTTTTTCAGAGCTGTGTTCCACTGGCAACTTGTGGTCATCACGTGACTGACCAGTATACCAGGCTCCACTCTTTTCAGTCTCTAGTCGACGCCCTGCATCTCTTCCCCAGTCCTGTAACCAAAGTTCTTGTTGTTGGCCTCTAAGTATCCGATCTTTTTGCCCTCCATACTGTTAAACTTAATTCCATTTCTAATACCTACTCCCAAACCTGCTGTGTAGTCCCATGTACTGTGTTGGTAATGCTCCAGTTTTCCAGAAGCATTGGTTCAGAAGTCTCATATTGCATATGCCTTAACTACATACCCAGATTCCTTGGGTTCTTGTTGGACATTTTGAAAGCTCAAAACTTGCATCCCCATGTCCATACTGCCTGCGATGACAGTGGGATTTTATGGATTAAGAATAAGTAGCAGTAAATATGTCTGTGTCTTCTGGTGTTTGAAGTATGGCAAAGCAGTCGATTCCCGTAATGGCTACGAGGAGTTGGAGGCTGCTCTTAGACTTAGCACAGTTTGTGATGCATGGCTCTTTGTGAAGAATGCATATTAGCACACTAATGGGTTAGACCTAAACAAGGTTATGCCTGGACTAAATACCACTGCACTCTGCAATTCTTACCCCTGAGCCATATCTCTCTTGTTCCTTCTATCTTTGCAGCAAGAGAAGCGTCTTTTTACAAATTTCCATCGGCAGCTGTTCTGCTGGCTTGATAAGTGGGTTGATCTGACAATGGAGGACATTCGCAGAATGGAAGAGGAAACCAAGACACAGCTGGATGAGGTCAGTGGAGAGGAGGACAGGTGTGACCTGCAAGACTATCTGAGGCTCGATCTCTGTCGTCAGCTGTAGGGTGAGGAGAGGGAAAGGCCCGCTTCTTGATGCTGCTTAGCTTGATGCATTCACGCTGCAGTCTGGGTGACCGCATCTGCCTTTGTTTCTCTGGGTTTTTCTCTTGTAATTGGCATGGACTTATAATAGTAGACCAATAAATACATTGTCCCATGGATAATTTAGGAGATCCAAGAGACCTTTCATAGACTCCTTTAAAATCAGTGAGGATATCTTATCTGATGCTTCTCGATTCACCGAATCCCGTAAGCAATCAAAAATAATTAGTCCTTCAAACAGTTCCTCAGCCCTGGGTAGAACCAGCAAGGAGCAATGTGCTCCCTACTATGAGGAATGTACGTGTGGGGCTGGAGTTCTCATTTGTCTTGTCATGAATGTTCCTTGCGATTCTTCCATTTTATAAATGTACTTGATTCTAGTACCATGTATGTTCTGCCCTTTTGATTATGGACCCTAAAAGATGATGTGGCTTGGCTAGAACTAGTATCATGACATGCACAATGTGGACTGACAGACTTCTGCCTTTTTACAGTAGGACAGTTTACAGATGCGTGAGACCCTGTTTCTGAAGCAAATAACTCCTCTTTACAACTTCTCTGATAAACTAACACAAGGATGTTGGATCAAATGGCTGACGCTTCTGCTTTCTATTTCAGATGAGAGAAAAGGATCCTGTAAAAGGAATGTCAGCTGCAGATGACTAATGTGGCTTCCTCCTTGTGCACTGTACGTACCCAGTGAATCTGCCATTATATTTGTTTTCTGGTTTTGGGTGCAAAAACGTTACAGAGAAATGCACGTTAGTCGTAAGTCTGCGGTGTTGCTTATTCCCTTTGATAACTAGGCACCTACCTAAATCGTGGCAAGACGGGGGGTTTTGTAGCCTGTGTGCAGAGCCGATTTCACCGGCATGTTGTGACAGCCTTGCCCCTAGATGCTGATTGGCAGAGAGGCCTGGGAGGGAGGAGGGATGAGGCAGCCACTGTCTTGATTGCTGGCTGCTCTTGGTGCCATCCTGCCTCTCAGTGCTGATTGGTGGGGAGGCCCTGGCAGGGGACAAGGGGGCCAGCCACTCTCTTGTCTTCATGCCACCCTGCCAGCCAGTGTCTTCCCCTCCCAGGAGCCAGCACTTCACTGTTAAGTTTTTTTTCTTGCTTTCATGGGCAGTCCGATTTCGCCATTGCTGTGAAATCTGCGAAACTGCAAATTAAGTAGGTCCCTGTTGAGAACTAATAGACTTCACCATGAGTTAAAATAATTCTGAAACAAGAAAATAAATTCAGTGCGTGCATGCATTAAAGCATCATATCAGAGCAGTAAATGGAAAAGTGCACTGGTGCCTTATTTGCATGTAAGGCACCTGTCCTTCTGGGTACTGTGTAGAGGCCCTTCTGGCAATCTGAAATAATGAATGCGCTTGTCACACAACACTGCTATTTTAGTTATTTGAGGGAGGGTTGCTAAAGAGCATGTCCAGCAATGGTCATTACCAGTGGGTGAGTGCTAGGATATCTGAATAAAATGGGAGGTTGGGGGGGTGGGGAGTATTTTTATTTCTGATTTTGCATTTCCTATGTGGAGGAAATGTGGAGACAGGGCACAGTTATCCATAGATTAGCTGCATTTAAACAAATTTATCTGGATGGCATTAGTCTTCCACAATCTTCTCTGCTCTGCAAGCACTGGAAGAAGCTGACTTTGGCTTAAAAGAAAGAAATAAAAATGGGTGGGGGGGTCAAATAAGCATGCTATCTTAATCTGACTTTTTGTTAATATTTAAACAGTTCCCAGTGACCTAGGCAGTATGCTGTTTTATAGTTCTGATCCAGCCTGGCATGTACAACTCCAAGTGGCTTCAATTTTAAGTTTTTAAACCAACTAAAATCCTGGCTGTGTTTTACCTATGACCTCTTAACACTGTGACCCTAACTTCTTATCCTGCCACTTCCTGAGACTTCCTGGTGACAATCCTGTGCTGCTCCCTCGGCACAGATTGTTTATATGATGGCAGCATGCACGGCTGTCGCTGCTCGGCTGTGTCTAGAGAACAAAGCTGGGTTCAGCCCAGAAGAACAAACTACTGAAGTTGACCAGACAGATTCAGGAAGAAAAGAAGTGAAGGGCTGGCAAGCAGTGTTGAGTGATCTCCAACATCCTATTAATTCCTCATTTTGTTTGCTTTTACTAAATTTCTGGTTGCACTTCGTTTTGCAACCAGCAGACAAAACCCTACAGTATAGGGCTGTGCCTTTTCATGTGGACAGGCCAGAAATTCAAAAAAGTCACTAACATTAGAAGAACTCCTGGGTGATGCCACCCCCATTCTAGCTACAGTTGGAGGCAGAGGGGAAACCAGGCATAGCCCTTGGCATGGGTGTGATCCTAGGCCCTCGTGCTCCTGCTCCTCCAACCGGATGTTCTTCCATTCACTTCCCTTGGCATGGTCTCTGCCGGCTGGTCTGAGTCACTTGCCCAACCTTTGGGCTTCTGCATATTGTTTCAGTCAGTCTTCATCAGCTCACTTGATAGAGCTGCTAGTTGAATTCATTACCTTTAAACATCTACAGCACTGCTTGCTTACTCCCTTTTCTGATGGCATAGGCATAGGAAACGAGCTGGTGGCCTTCTAGGAAGGCTGGGGTGGTTTGGGAGGCAGCAAATAAATGTGCGCTATTTTAAAGGCAGGCAAGGTTCTTTGGATAAATCCGATATCTTGTATTAGACCTACTATTTGAGCCTTTATGCAAAGGTTTACTCAAAGAACCTCACCTGCCTATGTCCTTAGACCACCCTGGCTACAGTGTATACCCCTGCTTTTTAAAACTGTTTCCTTTGCCCGTCTCCACAGACAGGCTCTGGATCGGACTGGGTGCAGGGTTAGATCCGAGACATGCTGATGGGAGAGGTGGAGTAGCCTGCAGGGCCACTTCCCCTGCCAAAAGTCAGTGTGGCTAAAGGACTGTAATCTTTAGGACAGCATCTGAACTGGCACCTTTAATTTCAGACATGGTTTTAAAATTTGTTCCTGGTGTCTCTTTTTCCTAGTTTGCAAAACAGTCAGCA